CCGAAACTGGCAGACACACCGATCCCCAGCCACTAAACAAAGCTTTAAAGAAGCCTGTCGGAAGCTATCTAAAGCCTTAATAACTGAGAAGAATCAGGCTCAACGCGCGTATATAGCAAAGCTCTCACCCACTAGCAACAAATTTCCACTCTGGAGAGCGCACCCAAACATTCAACCACCTATAGAGCCCGATTTTCCAATTCGATCACCCTCAGGTGTATGGGCGCGTAGTGACGAGGAAAAGGCCAACATCTTCGCCTCTCACTTACAAAACGTCTTCCAACCTCATCCGCCGGCGAATCAATTTACTCTGCCAAACATCCCACCAGCAGAGCCTTCCTCCACAATCATTCTTGAAACAAGTACAGTCACAAAAGCCATTGTAGAACAGATGAATCCAAAAAAAGCCCCCGGCCATGATTTAATTTCGCCTAAAATGATAATTGAACTGCCAGCATGTGCAGTTAAATTCATCACCACCATATTCAACTCAATTCTCAAATGGGGCTATTTTCCTCTGCAATGGAAAAAGTCCGTTATCACAATGATACCGAAACCAGGCAAGGACAAATCCCAACCTTCGTCATACAGGCCCATTAGCCTCCTTCCGTGCTTATCAAAGCTATTTGAAAAGCTGATTTCATGCCACCTAAGAACACACCTCCAAATCAACAGAGCGATTCCCCTGCATCAGTTCGGCTTTAGGGAAAAGCACGGAACTATCGAACAGGTAAATCGCATAACAGCTGAAATACGCACAGCTTTTGAATACAGGGAATACTGCAGTGCCATATTCCTGGACGTGTCTCAAGCCTTCGATCGCGTTTGGATTGAAGGTCTAGTTTACAAAATCAAGACCGTTTTGCCACAAAACACCCATAAGTTGCTTGAGTCTTACCTCAAAGATAGAGTTTTTACTGTAAGATGCAAAAATTTCTTCTCTGAAAACCACAAAATCAAGGCTGGAGTACCCCAAGGAAGTGTGCTCGGACCGATCTTGTATGTCCTGTACACGGCTGATATTCCTACAAGCAGTCAAACAATTCTATCCACCTTTGCTGATGACACAGCTATAATCAGTCGCTCAAAATATCCAAAAACAGCAACAGCTCACTTAAAAAACCATCTGATCGACGTGGAAAAATGGTTTGCAGATTGGCGCATACAAGTCAACGATCAAAAGTGTAAGCACATTACGTTTACACTTAATCGGGAAACCTGCCCACCACTGTCCCTAAACAACAAACAAATCCCCCAAGTCAACGAAGTCACCTACCTGGGCATCCACTTAGACAGGCGGCTTACCTGGTGAAGGCACATTGAAGCGAAGAAGACCTCCCTAAAACTCAAGGCCAATAGTTTCCACTGGCTCATCAACCCTCGCTCACCTCTTCCGCTGGAATACAAAGTTCTACTATATAACTCATTTCTAAAGCCAACCTGGACGTACGGGTCTGAACTTTGGGGGAACGCAAGCAGCAGCAACATAGAAATCATCCAACGTGTGCAGTCGAAGATACTGCGAACAATAACGGGGGCCCCCTGGTATATTCGCAACGCAAACATCCATAGGGACCTGGATATAAAACCCGTCAAAGAAGAAATTGATAGTAAAGTTTTGAAATACGAAAATAGATTATCAATACATCCAAACCAACTAGCCAGGCAGCTCAGGCGGCTCAGGAGCCACTCTCGTCTACAGCGCAACGACCGCCCACTCCTGCCCAATTGAGGGCTGTCGACCAATTAATAATCATCATAATATAACAAATAAATAATAATAAATAATATACATTAATAATACATAGTATAGGTTAAGATCTGAATTCTTATTGTAAGTCTCTTCAAGAGAAGATTCAATAAATAAAGATAAAGCTCAAAAAAAAAAAAAAAAAAAAAAAAAATGATGCACTGACCGATATATAAGGGCAACGAATATATAAGCGGGATGCAGAAGCGCGGGAAATGGCGCTAAGGCTTGGGAAAATGGCGGAAAAGCCCGGCAAATTTGGTAATGAAAAATGCGCGCACAGGTTTTTTCCGCAATTTTCTTTGCACAATAGTTCACTGGATGCACTATTAAAATCACTTTATTTTCGGCCTTAATTTTTAACCCTAAATTGGTGCTCACTACGACGAAATTGGTGGAATTAATTTGCACTTATTGGGTCAACGACGAATTTAATTTTATAGGCCCAAAGCGATTCACTTAATTCAATATTTATAGCAATATAAAATATAAAATATAAGCAATATAATATAAATATTTATGAATGTATAATATTCGAATTAAAATTGTTAGTGCATGCGAAATCCAATTTTTTGGTTAGAATGCTCACTATCTACCGATTTTACACGAATGCAAAAAGTTGAAAGATTGGCCGAACACAAGTTTAACAAAACGCCACAAATTAACTTTCAACTTTTTACACTCTATACCTGGCTGGCCGATTCGGTCTGATCAGCGACTTCCCTTTTCGGATCCATTGCCTCGACGTAGGGTGTGCAAATTGCGTAATCAGTTCCAGCGGCGACGACGAAAAGGCCTTTGGCAGCAATCAAACAAATCCAGCGGCAACAAAAGGGCTTCTTGGCAGCAACAACAGTATTCTCCAGCGGCAGCGACGAAAAGGCAGCAACAAGTCCAACGACGACAAATAATTATTTATTGGCACTTTTGCACTTTATTTAAGCCGACGCGGAGAATTGTTTTTGGTTTTTGATTGTTTGTTACACACCAAAAAAAAATGCGAAAAAAAAAGAAAAAACCAACGGCTGATCACGTCGGGGTCACCATGAAAAAACAATAAGCGTTTTTATTGCCGAAACGAAAAAATGGGAAGAACAGTTGGACTATACTTCGCTTCCTCTTTGGAGCGAATGTGGGTCGGATCTGGACAGGCGATACTAACACATGGTCGCCGAAGAGGCTTCCAAGCCGAAAAATGTTCAGCCAAGCCAGACTTTTCCGAAGAAGAGTGGAAATAAAAGTTTTTCATTGATCGCTGCCAGGGACGACTCTTCTTTATGTGTGTTTTGCACATCAGCAGAGCATCAAGTAGGAAACTGCGCTTCTTTCGCAGCTCTAACAGTGCAGCAGAGGTTCGATTTTGCCAAGAAAGTGCCCTTATGCATTAACTGCCTTCGCAAGGGTCACACGGTCAAGAAATGCAAATCGAACAGGTGCAGGGTGTGCAAATCTTCACACCACACTTTGCTGCACATATACTCGCCTAAGACAAATCTCGCGTTGCCGCCTCCTCCTCAGCCCACGCTCATGCAAGAGACTCCATCCACTTCACATGTTTTGCATGCGACTGCTTCGGATAGAGTCATTCTTGCCACAGCTATCGTGAGCGTATTATCGAAAAGTGGCGAATTTGTTGTGGCTCGAGCGTTGCTTGACTCTGGTTCACAAATAAATTTTGTGACCGACGAGCTCGCTCAGAGACTACAAATTAAAAGAGAGGATGTGTGTATGAGCTTGCGGGGCATTGGTCAAACTAATGCCCAAGCAACAAAGAAAATACATACAATAGTGAAGCCGCGAGTAGGGAGCAGCCAGTTGTCGTCCGATTTTTATATTTTGAAGAATATTTCTGGTTATCATCCGGATCAAGCGGTGAACACCAGCGGGTGGAGGGTGCCTGAAAATATTAATTTGGCAGATCCATTCTTCTTCAAGCCCCAAAAAATAGACATGCTTATCGGCGCAGGTTCATTTTTTGAAATTCTGTCAGTCGGCCAGATAAAGCAGGGGCCTGAACTTCCCATCTTACAAAAAACTGTTCTCGGCTGGATAGTGTCAGGGAGATGTACCTCGGAAACCAAAATTAAGGCAGAAAATTCGGTACATCTCAGCTGCCAGGAAGAAGCGTTGGAGTCAATCGACACAACCCTGCAGAAATTTTGGTCTGTGGAGGACTTGCCGCCTAAGGCTAAAGTCCATACTCCTGAGCAGCAACTTTGTGAACAACACTTTGAGAAGAATACTCAAAGACTGTCGTCCGGGAGATTTTCGGTTCGTCTGCCGTTCAAATCTGACCCGAATTCTCTTGGTTCTTCGTATGAAGTTGCGAAACGTAGATTTTTGTCGCTGGAAAGGAGATTGTCCAAAGATCCTTCCTTAAAAAAAATATATCTGGATTTCATGGAGGAATATGCGTCAATGGGCCATATGTCTTCTACTGATAATAGAATTCCAGATGGTCCACACTATTTTATTCCGCACCAATGCGTGCTGCGGCCTCAAAGCACCTCAACCAAGTTGAGAGTGGTGTTCGATGCCTCAAGCCGCACATCGACGCAGGTTGCGTTGAATGATATCTTGATGGTAGGCCCCACTATTCAAGAGGAGCTGTATTCGACGCTACTTCGGTTCAGAATGCACAGGTTCGCCCTTGCAGCGGACATCAAAAAGATGTATCGCCAAGTGATGGTGGACGAAACTGACCGAAACTATCAGCTCATAGTGTGGAGACGAGATCCCTCTGAGTCTCTGAAGATCTTCAGGTTAAATACCGTGACATACGGAACATCGCCAGCACCCTTCATGGCAATCCGGTGTTTAATGCGGCTTGGAGAGATGGGGCAAGCTAAGTATCCAAATGCCGCAAAGGTCATTCAGGAAGATTTTTATGTTGACGATTTTGTTGACAGGCGCCGGATGCGTTGAGAACCTGCAAAGCCTTCGTGTCGAATTGGCAAAGTGGTTTTCGAACTGCCCAGAGATCTCCGCATCTGACAGCGCTATCATGCCATTATTGGCTGACTCAGATGTGACTAAAACCCTTGGAGTGGTTTGGTTACCTGGTAAAGATTACTTCCAATTTCGGTTGGATGACTCTTTCCAGGATCTTCGTCCGACAAAACGAAACATACTCTCCGTGACTGCGAGACTTTTCGATCCACTGGGCCTGTTGTGTCCTTTGGTCACGAAGGCAAAGATACTTCTACAGGAGCTGTGGCTTCGAAAATTAGATTGGGACGAGTCGCTACCGATGCAGCTACAAACGTCGTGGGAAGCCTTCAAAGCAACTCTGCTCCAACTGCCAAAGTCAAGGTATCGCGATACGTTCATACAGATCCGCAAGTCCCGATTGAAATACACGGTTTCGCTGACGCTTCCATGCGAGCATATGGAGCGTGCATCTACGTTCGCACTCAAACTGCTGAAGGTTTAAAAGTGTCATTACTGACGGCCAAATCCAAAGTAGCTCCCCACAAGACGAAAACTTTGCCTCGCCTTGAGCTGTGTGCAGCTCACCTTCTAGCAGATCTTCTTAATCGTGTAAGGCCATTACTAAATTGCCTTACCAAAAAGGTGGTCCTATGGACCGACTCCGAGATCACTCTGCATTGGATCAAAACTCATCCTTCGTCGTTGTCCGTTTTCGTCTCAAACCGAGTAGCTGAGATCCAAGAGTGGTCGGAGAATGCAATTTGGCGACACGTTCCCACGAAAGTTAACCCAGCGGATATAGTGTCTCGAGGATGTGACGTTGAAGATCTTTTAACGTCCATTTGGTTCACTGGGCCGTCATTTTTACTCGACACAGAAAGTAGTTGGCCTGTAAATCAGCATTTTGAACTCCCTTCAGAAGTTGTGTCGAGTGAGTTACGCTAGTCGGCGTTAACTCTTGTTGTCACACCAGAGCCCAACTACTTGCTTCAGAAAATCGAGTCCTTTTCGTCGCACCTGAAGCTGCTGAGAGTTTTTGTGTGGGTTTTCAGATTTATTCGGAGGTGTAAGAAAGTTTTACAGCCTTTCGAAAAAAGCATTACGCCAAGAGAATTGAATCTTGCGTTCGAGAAAATTGTAGAAGTCATCCAATCTCACGAATTCAGTGACGACATAGGCAAAATTAGGAAAAAGAAACCGGTATCAACGCAAATTCAAAAGCTAAATCCCTTTGTGCAGGAAAATAAATCAGATTGGTGCTCTTCGGCATTATTGCGAGTTGGTGGTCGGTTATTGAATGCTCCTATCCCGTACGAAGCCAAATTTCCGTTGTTGCTAACAAAAAGCTCGCAGTTTGTTAAAACCTACGTGTCGTATCTGCACGTTACAAATTGTCACGCTGGTCCTCGAGCTCTTGTGAGTCTCCTGCGAGAGAAAGTCTGGTTGGTCAATGCTCAAGACGTATGTCGCCGAACAGTTCGTTCGAGCATGCGCTGCTTTCGATGCAAGCCGCAGCTCTTGACGCAAATTATGGGGAACTTGCCATCAGACAGACTCCGAGCTCTCCGGCCTTTTAATATCTGTGGCGTCGATTTTTGTGGGCCATTTAGCACAACGTATCGCATCCGTGGTAAACCACCGTACAAGTCATATGTGGCCTTGTTTGTGTGTTTTGCGTCCAAAGCGGTCCACTTAGAGTTAGTGTCTGACCTTACCACTGATGCATTTTTATTGGCTTTTCAAAGGTTCGTGAGTCGTCGCGGGATTCCGGAAAAAGTGTGGTGCGACAACGCGACCAACTTCGTCGGCGCGAATCGACATCTGAGAGAGTTCCGGGCCCGTCTGGAGGAGCAGGGGGGCGGTATCGAAGCATTCGCGTCAAAAAAAGGATGCAAGTTTGCGTTCATACCGCCCAGAGCACCTCACTTCGGCGGTCTATGGGAAGCAGGTGTGAAGTCTGCAAAGCACCTGTTCCTTCGGACGGTCGGTCACGACCTCTTGACCGCGGAGGAGCTCGGAACTCTCCTCGCCAGCGTGGAGGCGGTGCTGAACTCAAGGCCCATCGGAGCGTTAAGCAGCGACCCCAGCGACGGCGAAGCCCTCACCCCCGGACATCTCCTGATCGGCGGCCCGCTGGTCGCACCACCACCGTCGGCACTCCCGGACCAGATCAGCCCGACCTGCTTGCGAAGATGGCGCAGTGTCTCGTCGCTCAGGCACAGGTTCTGGCAGCGATGGTCCCGGGAGTACGTCTCCAGCCTGCAGACGAGGCAAAAGTGGAACCAGGAGGTCCAAAACGTCGCCGTGGGAGCTCTCGTCGTCGTCGGCGAGGACAACCAACCGCCCCAGCAGTGGAGGATCGGGCGCGTAGTGGAGGTGCACGTCGGCGCTGACGGAAAGGTCCGAGTGACGGACGTCAAGACGGCAGATGGGGTATTCAGGCGAGCCATCCATCGGCTGGCTCTTCTTCCAGCGTTGTCCTGAAGGACGTCGTCCCTTCAGAGGGGGCGGTGTTTGGAGATTTCTCTCTGATGTTTATGTAAAGCGGGGATCGGGGCGTAAATATAGCTTTATCGTTCAGGCGAATTCAGCCGCCGCTCTCCCGCTTAGTATTTTAGGTAGCATGTAAGAGAAATTTATGGAATTAAAAGTTAGTTGAAATCTGAACTCCTTATCGTGCGCATCGCCGCAACTTTCGTCTTATTTTCGCTATTCAACTAATAAAAACCATCGCAAAGAATTAACCACTGCAATCGCAAAGTTTTTCGTTTCGGCAATAAAAACGCTTATTGTTTTTTCAGTCAGGGTTAAATTTTGGTAGTCTTATGTGTGACGCTTTTTCATCCGATTGCGGCGCCCTTGAAGTCTGCATGTTTTTAATTATCTCCATTAGGTTGCGGTTTTGGAGCTCCAACGCTGACAAATACGAATCAGTGGAATGACCAGTAGGCAAAGTAGATCCCACTTCTGATGTCGGAGTGTCGTTTGTCTTTTCCATTTTATTGACTAAAATCCTCAGCAGCAAGTTCTGCTCGTTTACCAGGCGCTTTCTGAACTGACTTCCCAAGAGTCTGCTTTCCAAATTTATACTTTCTACTCAATTCTTTTACATTGTTAGCCTTCTCTTTCTAACATGTATGTCAGCGCTTAACGAACAGACCTCACTTGGCAGCAGTCTAAATCTGTCCTGCTCTGCCATGCTTTCACTCAATTTCTAACTTCCTTTTTAATAGTCCCTGCTTCACATTAAAGAAGGCCCCGCTTCACCTGTCCTGACCAAGAGAACCAAGTAGGCCCCGTTTCATTTGATCTGACATATACAAGAAAATACTAAGGGAATAACAAAGTTTGACCGAACATAGGGTAAGATACCCTATCGGCCCCTGGACTTTTTCCTTTTGCGTTTGCTAATGAGTTTTCTATTTCGAGCATTGTGAAGTTGGAATCTAAGCAAGTAGCAGATGGGGACAGTGAGTCCGGGAGATAGGTTTCTGACAAATACCGATTTTTTTTCCAAGAGCCGGCAAACTTTTCGGCAATATTGAAGGACCCAGTTAGCGTACCTGAGTCAGATTCTATGTATTTGAAGGGTGTGGGCGGAATGCCAACTATACGTTTTATATCAGACCAGACTTTTTTGGAAGAGGATATCGGGGAGATCTTGGAAGTAAATTGCTTCAGCGAGTTACGCTTGGCCGAGAGTACCGTTTTTTTAAAAAGAGCGTTTGCTTTTTTGTGTTTGATAAGGTTTACATTATTCATATTTGCCTTATAAAGGGAGAACAACAGTTGTTTTTGCTCCCTGAGTTGCTGAAGCTCAGGATTCCACCATGGCTTTATGGGCCACTCTTTTTGTTTGGGGTATGCTGCAGTTTGCAGCTGCACGTATGGCTTTTGTCATTTGAGCGACTTGCTGGTTTATGCAACCAGCTGCCCAATTTACGGCTGATATTTCGCAATTCTCCTGAAAGGGCTTCCAGTTGGCCAGATATGTCTTGAATTTAGGAAGTGGCAGAATATTATCTGGAGGGTTAGGTGTGGCGATGCAGATGGTTAAAGGAAAATTATCGCTGCCGTGGAGGTTACCTGATGTAGACCAGCTACATCTGTGGGTTATCTGAGGGGATATCAGTGAGATATCGATGTGAGTGAATGTGTTGTGGGTAGAAAAGTGAGTGGGTGAACCGTCGTTAAGGACAATTAGGCTATTTTCTGAAATTGCGATTTTTTTACCTCTTGTGTTTGTACGCGGGGAACCCCATAGAGGACTCCACGAGTTCATATCGCTGAGGACTACAAATGACCCATTAAGATTTTCTAACATATTTGATATGTTTTTGTAAGTATGTGGAATATTTCTTTTAATAAGAACACAAATTCCTTGTTTGGCTGATGTGTTATGAGGAAAGTTGTGGAAATAACCGACGTATTCTTTGGGGCAAATAAAATTTGTGAAGTTGTATGGCAGGTGTGTTTCCTGCAAAACTAAAATATCGGGGGCATGGTCTTTTATAAGGAGTGTTAATTCGTTGTAGTTATTGAAAATACCATGAATATTTCATTGTATTATTTTAAATGTCATAATAAGATTTTTTTGGGTTTATTATTATTTTTTTTGGTTTATTATTATTATTATTATTTTTTAAATGTAGGGGAGACCGGGGGGTCGTGAGACACGGGGGTCGTGAGACGCGCTTACAGCCCTGAACTAAAAAGCGCTACATCTACCAGCTGACTGTGAAACTTCTTGCTTGTTTCCAATCTTCATTTCCACATCACAAATATTCCGCTCATGCCGATTCTTTATGTCTTCCCAAATGGCAACTCCAATTTTGTGATCGAAAGTTTTGTAGACCGTTCGTGTTTGCTGTCTTTTCGCTTTGTTTTACAAGCTATTTGCGAGAGTGCATACATCCGAAACATTCCTTGGTGAGTAGCCTTTTGAAACACGGAACAAATTTTGCATAAACATTTAATGCGTCCGTAAAGCAGAAGCCATATTTAAAATATAGCTATTGGGGGGTCGTGAGACAACGTTCTCGGGGGGTTATGAGACATTCTATTACCGCGTCATCTAGGAACATAAAATTGTAATTTATAGCCTGATATAGTGTTTCTGTACACAAGTAAAACGTTTAATGATAATTTTGATATTTTTGATGGATTCAGTGTTTTTGATGATCTTTTTTTCTTTCTTTAGTCATCATGGTGCGTCATAAGTATAGTCAGACTGCCAAATCTGCGATTGATGTCAATGTTTTTGTGGCTGCTATAAAAGAGTTTGCTATCGAGAAAAAGCCGAAATCTTTTCAATTTGAATAAATTGTAGACCACAAAATATGCCTTATTAAAGATTAAAATAAACAATTTTGATAAAATTAGGCCATTTTCATTCTTATAAATTTGTGTCTCACAACCCCTCGAACCTTGCGAAAATCCATAAAAAACAACTTTTGAGCAGGCAGGCAAAACTTGAAGGTCGAACTAAAATTTCAACTAATTATACTCTTGTCTGAGTGAAATTACACTGAACTATGTTTTAAAAATTTGTACGGGCAGAAAAATGGCTTTTCTATTATATTTTTTGTCAAAAAACAAAACCCGTCTCAAAACCCCCCGGTCTCCCCTATTTTTATTTTTTATATGAATGTAAAGATGAAAGGGATTAAGATTATATGTCGGAATCCTCCATTGATGTGTCTGAGCCTGTTGGGTTGATAGTTGTTTGTGGGTTTGAGGTGTGTGAAGAAATGGAATCGATTGAATTTGATCTTGAGGTCATTAATGTCTCATTGTGGTCGTCGTTTATCTGTTTATCATTTAACTCGTATCTGAGAGCGCGTGATTTTTTCAGTCGTTTTTGAAGATTGTTTTGCGAGTTCAAGAAAGAGAATTCAGTTAGTTTTTTGGTGAGGCTATGACATTCTCTTCGGGATTCAAAGAGCTAGTACGAGGAGTAAGAATCGATGGTGAGAGTGGAGATGGAGCTTTGGTCGAGCCGGTATTAGTGGTAAAGCAGTACTCGGGAGTCTTATCGTGTTTCGGTGTTTTTATGTTTTCAAGGTCGATGGTAGCGGTTGTTGGGTTTGGTTTTGCGACAGAAGAATAAGTCAACTTCGGGTTAGTTGTTGTATTTTGTTGCTGCTTTAATGCTATGCGAGCTTCGCGAAAGCTACATTTTTTTTTTATCGTTTTTATGTGAAGAAGTTGTTTTTGTGTTTGAAATTGGGGGCATGTGGGTGAGGAGGCTGCGTGATCCCCGTTACAGTTTGCACAAGAAATTCGAGTGCAGGCGACGGGAAGGTGGGGAGTAAAATTGCATGAAACACAGGCAGCTGAGTTCTTGCAGTGCTTTGATGTGTGCCCTAATAATTGGCATGTTTTACACCTCATAGGGTTTGGAATATATTCAGTAACCTTGACTGTATGCCAGGAAACGTCTAATTTACTAGGGAGAGTGTAGCGGTCGAAATTTTCAAAAATTTTTCCAAATGGTTTGGCAGTCCGGTCAATCAATTTGGTAAACTTAAGGGGCACAACTAGTGTGACGGCCTAAAAAAATGGTGATTTTTGGGAATTTTTATAAAAAAATCTACTTGATCAATTCTTTTCAAATTTTCAGAATATATTTATACATGTTTTAAGAATGTATAGTAAAATTTTTAAAGAAAAAAGTTAAATATTTTTTAAGTTATAGTCGATCTCCAACGGCGCTAAAAAAAAAGTGCCTCAACTGCTGCAGTGATTCCGGCCCTCTCCGTGGACGAAATCAAAAAATGAAAAATTCTCGTGAAACTATATAATATTTTCCATACCATGAACTACGATAAAAAAAAAATATCAAAAACTGACAAAATGGCAGCGTTTAAAAAAAAATCGAATTTTAACCAAAATTTTGGTCGTTTTTGGCCTGCCAAAATTCGATTTTTTATCGGATCAAAAAACCGATAGTTCATGGTACGTAGAACTATATAAACAACATGTAAAAAAATTTGGTAGTGATCGGATCACTAGTTTTTGAGTTATCACTGCAGCAAATTTGGAAAATGCTGTTTCGAGAAAAACGCGTTTAAAGATAAAATGATCGTTTGCACTGTTATGAGAGCGGCTGCTCTTTAAATCGGCCTATCCTGACTGGAGTGCTCCTGAACTCCAACATCAACTTCTATTTGTGCCTCTGTCCTCAACCAAGGCTTCATATTGGCCACTGCCCACACTCCTTTATAAGGTATCCTTGACTGTTGGAAATTGTCTACATCTTCCAATATATATCTATCATGTTTCAAAATTTTACTTATTTTATACGGTCCTTTATATTTTGGTACAAGTTTTTTACATATCCCTACATTAGTGTCAAAATTTTTAATCATTACTAAATCTCCTTCTTCATATTTATGTGGTTCTTTTCTCTTTTCATCCACAGCTTTTTTATTATATTCTTGTAATTTTTCTTGTTGTACTCTAGCCGTTTCTCGTATTTCTTC